TAGAGATTGAGGTAGATGAGTGGATATAAAATGAATAGGAAATGATCTGTCCTATAAGAATAGAATAATTCTTTATGTCCAAGAAGCAGAAATGATGGATAATCTTTTCTGGATGTCACTTTCAAAATGAATGCACTTGTATCCATAGCCTTTGGTTTCTATACTTAAAAAGCCACCTCCTGCAAGATAAATTTTAATTGAGTCAGGGCAAGGAGAACTTGGCTTAAAGTCCCACCACATCTACAACATCCATATAGCCACTCAACCAGGGGAATCAGGGTACTCTTAACCAAAAGAAGGCTGTACAAAATAAGGCACAAACAAAAATCAAGCAGTGACATAAGCACCTTGTTGAATGTGAATGAAAAACCTGAGGCCAAGAGAAGAAGCCATAAATAAAGTGATTAGAGTATTAGAGTGGCTTGGCTTGGCTGAAGCACAATATAAGTGGAAGTTACCAGACTGAGCCACACTCTGGTTTTTGGTCATCCCCATCTCCCTAAGCCACCACCACCATCTGAAGGAGAGAACTCTCCTCAATTTATACTGATAACTTTGTAAGATGCATGTGCATTCCAGAAGCAGTTGATGCCAGGGAAGGTCAACTTTGAGCCTATGGCCATGCCCACAAGTTATAGGTGGGTCCACACTGTCCAGCTACTAGCAATCAGACTATTGGCACAAATATTATAGATTTTGGTGTTTCCCTCTCAAATTTAGGAAGGGTATCTGGCATTAGTTATAGGACTACGGCTAGCATATTGCCTTAAGGAATATGCCAAGGAGATTCTATTCATTTCATCCAAGCATAAGCTTCTCCCCTTACATTCTTAATCTGATCGTGGAAGTTATAGAGAGGATAAAGTAGTCAAGTGCTACTGGGGACACTCCTGAAAACTATGGGGTGTTAGAGATGCATAGCAGTTTCACATATTAATATTGAGAGTTTTCTCCCCAAATACTCAATGGATCTTTCTTCCTGCAGTTTTCTTCATTCTGCATCCCATCTTTGCCACAACCCCATGCCAAATAAATTATATGAGCTTCTAAACCAACTTTCTCCTAATGGTTCTTCTTAAGTTATACTTTGATGTCACATTCAAAAGCTTGATTGAAATTACATTCAGAGGCTGGGTCCATAGCTCAGTGGTAGAGTACTTGGTTCAATCCTCAGCACCACATAAAAATAAATTTAAAAATAAAGATATTGTGTCCACCTACAATTTTTAAAAAATTAAAAGAAAGAAATTACATTGAGAAAGGTCTTAACTGCTCTCTCCTAATAAGTCTGGTCTTCAGACTATAGAGTATTCCATTTGGGTACATGTTCTATGGAAACAGAATCATAGACTTCAAATCCTTCCCAGATCTCTTGTTCACAAAAAGTGTCATTTAAGAAAGTGTAAGCGCTGGGGATGTGGCTCAAGCGGTAGCGCGCTCGCCAGGCATGCGTGCGGCCTGGGTTCGATCCTCAGCACCACATACAAACAAAGATGTTGTGTCCGCCGAAAACTAAAAAATAAATATTAAAAATTCTCTCTCTCTCTCTCTCTCTCTCTCTCTCTCTCTCTTTAAAAAAAAAGAAAGTGTGTACTCTATTAATCTACAGTTTTATTTTTTAATAAATGAAATGAAAGCTTTTTTCACATGGTTAAAAAATAATTCAATAGTTATTAAAATATAATAGTAAGAACCATTGACTATTTTGAGTAGAGGATTATAAGCCATCAAATTATACAATGAGGTGACTTGACATAGTGCTCTGTTGGCAGAATAATGGATTAATGGATATACCCTATAAACTATGAGATCTACAAATAACCAACAAATGATAGGACAGAAACTCTATAAATACTAACAGTAGAACCAAGACTGTAACTAGGGCAAAAAAAATTAGAGATAGTTTATTAAGCAATTTAACACTATGTGGAATTCTGTGATTTTTATCTTGCTAAAGCAAGTTAACTTATAAACCTATAATAAGGTCATCAATGCAACCTAGGCTCAGTTTCTCAGCTCAGTCTTTGTCTAATGTCTGTTGTTTAATTTCTCTAAATTTAAATTTCTATTCAAGGGTAATCATACTTTTATACGTGTATATGTGTGCATATTATATATATATATATATATATATATATATATATATATATATTAGGATCTTATGTACTTTCTCAACTGTGTTAGTCTTAAAAGAATACCCAACCATACATTTTTAAAAATAAATATTTACTTTTTCTTATATAATGAGAAATCTTAAGTTATGCAGTTGATCATATTTAATTTTTAGCCAGTCAGTAAAGCCACTGAAGACCCACTCAGGGTATTTGCAACTGTACTCCAGTGTCACTGTCATGTTGGCTTTTTCCTTGTGCTTGTCACTCCATGGTCAGAACATTACTGCTACATCTCAAATATCAATTAAAAAAAAATTAAGAAATCCCTTCTGTGTTGCCTCTCAATGGCCAGAACATAGCTACTGGAGGAAGCCGCAAGGTCAGTAGGAAAGTGGGAAACTAGAGTGAGTGGCTGTTATAGACACTGTGAACCAGGTCCTGGGACTGAGAATGTCTATACCGGAAACTACATTAGTGTTCTTTTAATAGAAAAGAATGTATTATATGTCAAGATCATTGTTTTGTCATGTGCAACTAATAAAATAAAATAAAAAGAATGAAGGGTAAACATTGGATTGGTAACTGTCAGAGTTTACCATAATAAGAATATTAGATAAATGAAATCACCTTATTTAAAAGGTGTTGTGATAAACTGTGAAGGAATCAGTATTTGGGAAAATCCTTTCAAAATAAATGGTATTACCTCTAGGGTTTCAATCTAAATTGTAATCATTCACTTTAATTAATGAAGGAATTTTTATATTAATTCTTAGATGCTTTGGCAAGCCCTCCAATGGTGAAAAAAGATAGAGCCAGTAACTTAAATTAATCAAGAGGCTTTTTTTGTGATTGTTTTCTTAGGTAGATAAATTTTCAATTGGGCAAATGCAGGATATTTGTAGTGGAAGACATGGTTTGAACTGATAATATATTTTCAGAGGAAAGAATCTTCCTGGACTACAAAAGGTGACTTATCCATGTTACCTTAGGTGAGTGATTCTAGCTTACATTAATGGGTCAGACTGCATCTGTTGTTCTATAGTTGGCATTTTCTCTGACTGCCAGAAAGCATCGCATCACTTGGCATGTCCCACATATTAGATTGAGAGAAAAAGAAATGCAAGAGGAGGTGCAGTTGCCAAAGGACTTGTAGGCTTAGAACCCAGCAGAAACAGTAGCTGAGAACAGTCTCAGGCACAGTGATTGCCCAGTGGCTGTAATGAATTAGCGAGGGTAAGCATGTTCTGCTGACCAGAAAGAAAAGAGCGGGAAAAAGAGTATTTCAGGATTTGTAATTATTAACTAATTGACTGTGCTGCCAGCAAGCCCAAGACCCACAGAAACACAAGACATTTGGAGATGTAAATAATAAGTAATTGTTGATATTTTCTGATAGTAGTTTAAAAAACTTTTATTTCTCATTGCTCTGCTTCTCTGGCTGCTAAAATGATTCTGAATTTGAAAAAAAAAGTATGTACTTAAGCATGTTGTATGTAATATTTATGTGCATCCAATAAACAATATATCTTCCTTTGATGTTATTTGTTTTCCTTTATCTGTTATATTGGGTGGAAAAAAATAGATTGAGAACATTTGCTCAAATATATAATAAAAATCATTTGGAGAGTAAGAATATTAATAGTTGACTTAGTTAAAAATTCTCTTTTTTATGGCATCTTACTGTGACTATGCCTGCAGACGAGGAGGCAACTGATATGATGGATTTTGAAAACTTCAGAAATGTTTTATCATATGACTTACAAATATACTATTGTTTTTGTAAAAAGAGCTTGTGTTGAATTTGCGCACATCTCTGTAATGTTATTTTACCTGATCATGGTAGTGCAAATAGACATATGATTCTAATTCTGAGATTCAAAAGGCTTAAAGATAATATGATTTTTCAGCTATTACAGATTTCCTATTTCATCTAAGTTTAATTTTTTATATTGGTTCAATTAACCTAATATGATTGGTTGAAAAGGTGAAATTCCAGGAATTCTTATTTATATTTTATGAGTATTTTGGTTTATAGTTCAATCTTTCCAACCTAGAAATAGGAAGGCTCTTAAGATAAATATTCATAATTTGACATAGTTGTCCTTAAACATACAATTAATCTTTGACAGGCCTACATTATTGCTTTTCTCACCAGTATTCCAGATTTTCATTAAATTAAAATGGAAGAAAGACTACAAATTATTATCAGTGGCCAAAGAAAATCTTTTTTTTTTCCTAACTAAAAACCTCTTCACATGTATTACAAGAAAGCAAAATTACTTTGATTTATAGTTATAAAGGAAATAAACTCTAATCTTTGCATAGTAGATGTTTTAACTTTTGTATCAAACTAAACCCATAGATAATTTTAAACAACATTAATATCTTTTCAAATTTTGAAGACATTAATGTAAATAAAATAAAATAGCCCAAAAGGGCTAATATTCTTGCTTTCACATGTATGTAGTACCTAGAGAAATCAAATCCATAGAGATACAAAGTAAAATGGTGGTTGCTAGGGGTTGAGAGAGAGGAATGGAAAGAAGTAAATAAAGGTTTTTTTTATCCCTGAAATGATTATACACTATGATGTTTTAATATCAGCTCAGGAGTAACATATGACTTTTACCATAATATAAGCTTCACTCTAAATAAAGACTAAATTAAAGAATACATGCAAAGCACTGAGCATAGATCTCACAACCAATTGTTTTCTCAGCAAATGTTATTTGTCTGATTATGAAAGCAGTAAATGTTTCAGGAAGTCAAAAGATCAGTATGAAGGAACTCATCTTTTAAATGGGTTCTCGAGTACATTTATAACATAATCAAATTAACTTCTTATCATTATCCAACATCCTTTACTAAAAACCTTTATTATTTCAGGAGGAATTGTTGATAAGGACCTTCGTCACTACCTCAACTTACGATTTCAGAAGGGTTCTGTTGACCACGAACTTCAGCAAATCATCCGTGACAACCTCTACCTCCGCACGGTGCCGTGTGAGTAGGATGGGTGATGTTATTTTCTTCCTGTGTTAGTAGAGAGATGTTCAGTCCTATATCCATTGTTTAAAAGGAAATTTAAGTCATAGTGGGCATTTGGAACAGAAAACCTATTTGAGACGTAAAAATGTTAAATGCTTATAACTGTGGTTGTGTGGTTTAGAATGAAGTTGTAGAAAGAGGAGACTTGTGATTTTCAAGCTACAAAATCTATCTTAATGTTTCTCAAGTTAGTACTGAAAAATATTGATTCTAGTTCAGACTTTTGGTGATTCAGAATGAATCATGATTGAAATAGAACTCCACAACAGGAGACAGGAGAATGCAAACTCAATTTATTAGTTGAAACAGCTATTTTGTAAATAGAATCTAAACAGTAACTCCTAAATTCATCTCAGGTTTGCAGCAAGGGAATCTAGTAAGTGAAAAGAAAAACACACATGGAAAAGCAAAGGTAGTATTCTGGAACTCTTAGGAGGTGATGTTGGGTCAGATAATTTTTATGCAACCTGGAGAAGTTCACGAATATAAATTCCTGTTTTACCTTAAATGACAGGAATAAGTGAAATGATAAATTCAAGTCATTTGACAATCTTCTATTAACTTAAGGATAAATAAATGATTTTTCAACTTAGGTCCTAGCTCTTATATCAATATCAAAATTATTTTCTTCAAGGAAGATTTTTATGACCTCCAAAAGATTCACTCCAGAAATTCTGATCTGTGGGTGTTATGTGTATTCCTTTTATTTTAGCTCTGCCCTAAATATTAACAAACTCAAAGCTATGGACTTGGGAAACTTAATAAAGAAAGAAAAAACTTAGCTAGGGTAAATGAAACAAATAAGCAAAGCAAAAAAAAAATGGTTTAGACATCCAGGATTAAACCACCAGTACTATGTAAGTGATATAGATAGATAATTATATTGAAATACTGAACACACAAGAAGATGTGAAGATGGACAGGTAACCATCCAGACATTTAACCAACACCCATTTAGGAGGGTTGGATTCTTGCCATTGTTAGCACTACTAAATGTTCATCAAAATAAAACTGCCAGAGCCTGACTATTAAATATTTCTAAAAAAGAATACTTGCTGACTGACATCTTGTTGGTCAAAATGATTTTGCTTTCAGTGTGTTGTTAGTTAAGTGAATAGACTTTTGGACTCTTGGTTTATAACTGGAAGTTGAGAAAAGTGCATTCTTAAACTTGTGAGTTTGACATCGGAGTGATGGGAAGAAGAAGATGGATTAAAGTAAGTGACTGAACTATTTATAAGGTAATGGGTGGACGCATTTTCAAAGCTGTGATGTTGTCAGCGCAATGGTGTGAATTTATCTTTTGTGACATGAAAGAAAGGAGATCTGAAATACTAAACAAAGAATCCAGCCACTTTATTATGTTTAAAAGCTGAGGGAAATAGATAAGAGGCTGACATTCAGGAATACTTGTAGTCCTTGCTAAGGCGATGACATACATAAGAAAGTCTTAATTAAATATGAAGATAATGAGAGTAAATTTTACATTAGTTAGTTAAGCTCTTAAATAAAGCATCTCTTTTTAAAGTACCAAAGAAAGACTAGGAAGACAAAATAAATTTAAGGGTAAGATAACTAGATTTATGTGAGTAAACACAGTTTCAAGATGTGATTTTTGTACAAGGTCATAAATTCAATTAGAAATCCTTGAATAGTTTCTACAAAAGAGATAATTAGAAACACAATGAATCTGAATATTATGATAAAGAATTATTCTTGGATTTTGCAGCCACCACTCTTAATAGCCAATGAATGACAGCATGCACTATCAGTGCTTTTAACTTGGCATAAAAGTGAAAAAAAATAAAATAAAGATGACTCTGACTTATTTTATTAAAAATATCTTTTATACTGATGAATTGGATGTGGAAAATCTATTACCTTTACTCATTATATCTTTAAATGAAGTAATCAGATATTTTCAGAGATTATTCATTAAAAATACATCAGTAATGTGAGAAATCCTACCATGGCTTAGAAACCTACATGTGTATCCAACACATCAATTGGCATTGAGTATGGAATCACATTAGTTACACATTCTCTTGGGTCCAAAAATTCTCAAGGGTTTTCATAAACCCAGTATAATAAAAGGGCAGTGTATGATTGAAGGGCATAGTATTGTTCCTATATAAACATACATTAATATGTATTCACTCACCTCTTTTTTAATCTAGCAGTAGCATCAGAAATAGGTCTTTGATAACTACATTGAAATAAAATTATAGTCAACTTATAACTATGTTGAAGGTAGATTTTTTTTCATAATGCGATACTTAACTAAGTAATTCTGCTTTCTCCATGATACTATTGGAAAGGAGCCAAGTCTTAGAGCTAGACTTATATTGGCCGGTGAGTAAGAGGGGCTAGGGTTCCAGAGACAAAACTGCTCTCATACACAAATATATGCTTGGCCAAATCCAGTTATGGACAATCTGGCTCCTGTACTAAACCCTGTAGGAAACCTGTGTCTGGCTGTTGGTTGGTTTCTGAGGTAAGCAGAGGAAGGTGGTGGCTAGTTCTGGTATTTAACTAAAATAATTGAAAATCCTGTCAATCTGTTCACATAAGCAAGGACTGACTGTATGAAGCCTTTCATTTCATTTCCCCAGAATCTTATCTCAGAACATATTTCTTCAAAAAAAATTGGCTTTAAAACATATATCTCTAGACAAGGAAGGAGAACTTGTTCACATAGACCGGGTTGTTGCAAATATAGCAAGGATGAGATCCAACTACACATACACACACAAACACACATGCACACACAGAGATTCTGATGAGATCACTTGTGATTCCTTCAGATCGGATAACAAAAAGAACCTTAGGAATGGACTCTTAATATTTTCTGTTTATATGATATTTATGTAAAACATATGCCAGTTAACCTGATTCATGTCTGCTGAAGACCCAAGTTCATTCCTAAATATGTGATTTCTCAAATGCTAAATTGTACAACTAATAAGGGGAAAATAGAAATTTCTAGAGCAATTTGACATACTAAAAAGTGATAGCTAATTATAAATGAAGACTGAAAATTAATCTTTCTACTATAAGATGTCAGGCTATATAATATTTTTATGTTATTGAACTTCAGAAGAAATAATAAATGACAATAATACAAAACTGTTGTATCCTAGGATATGATAACAATTGACCAGGCAATATGTATATAGATCAAAGACTACTACAAAGAGTTTAGTACATCACATGGTATTTAATTACTCTGATAGTATACAAAAGGCAATTTCAGAAGCACCAACTTGGCAACCCTCAGAGGGTAGATAAAACAGTTTCATCACAGCATGTTAAGTGTACAAAGTCAAGACGGCATGAATTGTCCCTTGGGTAGTATAGATTCAAAAGTATCTGAAGGAAATTAGTGGAATTAATACTGAAAAATATTGGAATAATTTGCAAGTGTTTAAAGAGTAAAATGAAGTTCTTTAATTTTAACAGTCTACTGAGTATAATGATGATACATATTAACTCTTGAGTCTGTCAACCAAAATTAAACAGACCATGTTTCTGAAATATGAGAAAAAACAATCACTGCAATTTATTGATAAAGTCCTAGTTCTTTGGATCTTTGATATTTATTAGAGAAACAAGTTAATTTTGGAGGCAGGTATGAGCATAGATATAAATTTTAGATACATCTCCCAGTATGCCAGATGACATGGGGAAGAACTTCAAACAACCAATTTTAAAAGTTTCAAAATGAAATGGAAGGTAGTTAAAATTAAACTTCTCTCCCAAGACCATACTTTATCATTTGGTGAGATGGTTTTATTGGGAAATATTTTAAATTTATTTGAAGTTAAAAGAAATACCAGTGTATACCAAGTAAAAGGCAAGAATCAATAAAACTCAAGTCTAAAACTATTCCATAAAGAGTGAATAAAATGAAAAACATAGATTTAAGAGATGAAAGAAATTACTTTTGCAGAAGATCTGATTGCGGTATAACTCACAACGATGTTTCTACATATTAAAGTACTTTTAGTAAAACTAAGCTATATTAAAAAGAAATATTGTCAATGATAAAATTGTAAGATTTCTAAGATATTTATTTAATTTTCTGATACTTATAATAAATGGTCTCCTGTTAGGAACAATTACCAACAAACCAAAAGATAAAGGTATACATGGGGGAAACATCCCCTTTTGCTAATTAAATTATTCTATATAAGACAATGGTCAAAAAGAATGAGTGGGGAGGAGCTGATTGGTCATATATCTGTTAAAGAAGGTTAAATTGGGTCAGAAGTCTTTAGTCCACTCCATGGGGAAAATAATTTTTATGCAAAAATCAGTTATTTAAAGGCTTGGTAAAATTGAGACTTTCAGCAAGGTAATGTTTTTGTGGGAATAAATAAATCCAATTGCTCTTAATTTAGGTTGTAAAGAATATTTATGACCATGGAGTAAGTAGGGAGAGTGGCATTCATCTGTAGATTAGATTGCTGACATGAACCCATCTTTTCCCAGTAGAAGAATTTACTTGAGTTAGAAATGATTACAAATACGATTCTGGGGCTGGGTTGTAGCTCAGTGGAGCGCGATTGCCTAGCATGTGTGAGGCACCAGGTTTTATTCTCAGCACCACATACAAGTAAATAAAATAAAGGTCCATCAACACCTAATTTAAAAAAAAAATATCTGATTCTGTTTTCAGAATACTTTTACAACATAGATCTGTATGCTGAGATGGACTCAGGTTGGACTATATTGAACATGTAGGCATAGAGGTAGAAGCTTCCAACCCAACCAAATTTTAAACCAACATATTAAAACAACTGTAAATTATACATCTGTTTCAACGTTATTCTTGTTGCCTCAAATAAGAATCATCAATTTAGAAACTCGTTTGTGAAATTGCTTTTAGGATTTGAATCATATTCTTTTGCAATTATTTCAGAATCAAGTTGCCAGATTTTTGTTCTTGGAAAATG